TTTTTTTTGCACTAATAAAGTTGTGGAGTTGTAAAGTATTTTGTCTCGTGTCAATTATATTGTTATCGCAAATTTTCAAATGTATATCGTGATAAATATTTTTGGTCATATCGCCCTGCTCTAGTGTGCAGCAGGTTAGGGTGAAAAGATTATAGGGGCAGCAGTTAAAGTAGGGGCTAGACCTCCATCTCCTGGGCAACCTCCTCTAGTTCTCATGCAGTGGAAAGCTAGACATCCTTTAGTTTATCCAAGCAGGCCCTCTTCCCAGTAGGACACACCTGAAACACTATACCCAGACCTCCAGGAGACATCCTAGTAAGACGCCTGAACCATCTCAAAGGGGAGACTGATCCCCCTTAAAGTTTGTGCACACCCTCTGATTCCCTGTCTTGAAGAGGGGAATCGTCACCCTAGTCTGCCAATTCAGAGGCACTGTCCCCAGCTTCCACGTGTTGCAGAGGTACATCATCTAAGACGGAGCTACAGCATCCAGAGCCTTAAGGAACTCTGGGCAAATCCCATAAACCCCAGGAACATCACAACGTTCCCAACGCCTTCACTTCCACCTGATCCAACTCATCACCAGGTGGTGATCAGCTGACAGCTCTGCTCCCACCTTCACCTGCAAATCAAACATCTTCAGGAGATTCGTTTCAGAATCCAAGCAATGCGTTGAGGTGAGCCCGATTACATCATAGTCACTATGTCTTGACCTCGCATACAGGTTCAGACTTCATCCTCTCCAGTGAGGTGACACTCCATGTCAAATGAATTTGATTAAATTCATGTGTTACGGCAGGAAAGATGGAAGAAAAATGATGCCAGTCAAAGTGATAGATGCTGCACTATGGGTGAGATAAAGCAAGCAAGGCTACCTTTAATCTGTTGAGGTAGCGTTTGGTGTGAACGATCAGCAGATCCTCCTCAGCAGCTTCACGAGCTTCCACGAGGTTCCCATCATTGATAAACTGCTCCTCTGCAACACATACAGAGGGAGGGGGCACAGTTACAAAACACTGGATGCTAGAGGGGGAGCTTCTACAACTTTTGTGCTCCACAATTTGTAGGAATTAGTTTGGTATTTAGTATGTTTTACTAAAATACAATATCTGAACCAAGATGTCAGCATTCATTGAAACTCTTATCAGTAACCAGACTAATTTGCATGCAGAAACAGAAGAACGTAACAAATCCTACATTTATGAAAGCTGTAATATTTAGTTTTTCAAAGCCGATTGTCATTAAACTGCACAGGAATTATGAGGCTGCAGTATGTGGTGCTTATTGCATTATAGCAACAGGAGTTTCTATTCTAAAGAGAGTGGACTATATAACGGAAACAGTTCTCTTGAAAATACAATGCAGTATGAGAGGACCATGTTGAGGACCACAATTTTAAGACACTTGGTATGAAAAAGATTTTCTGAGCATCTAGAGTTCAGAATATCATTTTACAATGAGGGAGAGATGAAGGAGAGTTTCACTTGCCCAGCCCACTTTACATCAAAGTGAGCTGGACAAGTGAAACTCCCCTTTCTGTCCATATAAAGACATTTAACTACACATTTAACCCCAGAGATATATTAATATAACATTTTTTAAAAAGCATAATTTCAACAGTCCACCTCTACATGACAAATGTGTAAAATTACAGAAAAGGTTCTGG